ACTGTGGGCAGAACTCTGTGGGTGAGTCCCCTGTGACTGGCAGGTGCCTGACCAATTATGTACCAGGAATGGAGGGGTGGAGAGAATGGGTGCTTCTTCTCCACCCCTACCCAGACCGGCAAGCCCATGACTGACCAGCAGCTGTGTCGCTGGTAAACATTGCAGAAATGTGCAAACATGCTGTTACTATATACACAATTGGCACTATTAAGGCCAGGCAGGAATCCTCGTCATAAAGTTCCATTTTCTCCACAGTAGTACATAAATGAATGTGTGGCCGGGTTCTGGTTATAGGGACTAAAATTTTAATTCCATAGAATTTCGTGTGTCACAAAATGCTATTCTTCTTTTCATTTTCAACCATTTAAAAATACAAAACCATTCTTAGCTTGCAGGTTCTACACAAATAGGCAGTAGCTGGGTTTGGTCCACAGTTTGCCAACTCCTGGTCTGGACTGTTTCAAGCTGCAGACCTGCAACCGTTCCTCCTCTGTTCTCACTTTCAGGTGAAGGCCTTGCTTCTGAGTCACTGAGAAAACTTTAGCAGTCACAGGAGAACTTTCATAACTCACCTACTGTGGGTAAAATTGCAATGTTTTCAGAATCTCTCACCTGGCCTTAATCCATCTCCATATCAACAGGTGATTACAAGGGGTGGGGGAAGAAGCCAGCACATGGGGGACTGGAGAGGTTTTGGGATCTTCCCTGCTGGGAAGGGAGAGAAACAGGGGAGCAGGAGTAGACAAACGGAGCCAGGATTCTTGTAAGCAATACAAGGCCTTCTCCCCATCTAGTTTTTCCTTCGACTGATTTCGTTTTCAGTGGTTTGTGGTTTATTTGCCCTGGACTGGGAACACATTTCCCCACTGGAGTTATACCTACCATGTCCCACCTACCAGGACCTGCAGTGGAATCCTCTGCAGTCCTGTTTAGGCAGATGATGTTGCCATGCTACAGCCAGCCTTTCTGCTTGCTGAGCCTTCCATCCCCTGTCAACTATTCAAGAACCTTGTTCTGGCAGTTCCTGCCTTTCTGTCCCTGATTTTCACTGGATTATTCCCATCAACATATAAATAAACAGGCAGTCACTTCTCCCATCTTAAAAACCAGCTTTTTATCTGAGCTCCCTTTCCAGCTGCTGCTCCTTTCTGGCCTTCCCTTTACAGCAAAACTGAAAAATTTGTATATATTTACATTTTCCAATCTCTTACCCACTTTTTTTTGCTACAATTCAGGTACCACGAAAGTCACTATTTTAGTGTACAATTCAGCGGTTTTTAGTACATTCACAAGGTTGTGCAACCATCACTGCTAATTCCAGAACACTCTTATTACCCCAAAAGGAACTTGTATCCATTACTGATCACTCTCCATTCCCCTTCTCCCCTGAGTCTTAGGCAATAACTCATATACTTTGTTTCTATGGATTCCTGTATTCTGGACATTCCATATGAATGGAATTGTACATTATGTGACCATTTGTATCTGGCTTCTTTCACTTAGCATGCTTTCAGGGTTCCTTCATGTTGTACCATCTGCTAGTACGTCTTTCCTTTTTGTGGCTGAATAATATTCCACTGTAGGGACATACTCTGTTTATCCATTTACCAGCTGATGGACACTAGGATTGCTTCCAATTTTTGACGAATAATGCTATAGACATTGGTTTGCAATTATCTGTTTGAGTACCTGTTTCCAATTACTTTGGATATATACCTAGGAGTGGAATTGCTGGCTCATGTGCTAACTATGTATAACCTTCTCAGTAACTACCAGACTATTTTCCACAATGGTTGCACCATTTTACATTCCCTCCAGCTGTGTGGGACAGTTCCAGTTTTTCTACATCATTGCTAATGCTTTTTATTTTCCTTTTTAAAAAATTACAGCCATGCTGCCGACATCCAAAAAACAGGATACGATAAATGCTGGCGAGGATGCGGAGAAAGGGGAACCCTCCTACACTGTTGGTGGGAACGTAAATTGGTTCAACCATTGTGGAAAGCAATATGTAGGTTCCTCAAAATACTAAAAATAGAAATACCATTTGACCCAGGAATTCCACTCCTAGGAATTTACCCGAAGAAAACAAAATCCCTGGCTCAAAAATACATATGTACCACTATGTTGATCACAGCAATATTTACAATAGCCAAGATATGGAAACAACCTAAGTGTCTATCAGTAGTCCTGAGGTGTAATTTAACTGTGATGATAAATTAACATCTAACTTTCTATGGTATTCATGGATGCTCTCTTTAAACGGATTTTATAGGAGAAAGTAGAGTTTTGTAACCTTCAGTTGGTATACAGAACCTCTGTATGTCATATTTTTTGTGGGGGCTACCCAGAATTTTTTTTATTATTCCTGGAGCTGTCCTCTATACTACAAAAATTTATTATGACCATTTATATCCTTACTAAGGAAGGCAAGTTAGCAAAGACAGGTTCACACTTGGTGAATTCATAGTATATATTGATAGCTACATACAGAGAATTAGCCATCCTTAGAAATCTTATGGAGTTCACTTGTTCATTCACCAAATAATTATTAAGCTCCTACTATGGCGACATGGATAAATAAGTATTCACTGCTGTTGTAATACATGTTACCTATATTTACAGATGTTAAGGCTATCTTCTATCTATTCACTGCTGTTGTAATACATGTTACCTATATTTACAGATGTTAAGGCTATCTTCTATCTCCAGCCCTGACCACTCCCCTGATCTCAGATTTAGCTGCCTACTCGACATCTGTACCAGAATCACCCACAAATATCTTTGGTCCCAAACAGAACTCAGGTTCCTCTCACTTTCCTGTTTTGCAAAGGATGTTAACCACCTATCCCTTCAACACTGAGGTCACATCTGACTCCATCCTCAGGCCCACAACCAATCATTGTATTCTGTTTGTCCAATTGATCTCCCTCCTCCATCCCTTCACTGCCCTAGTCCAGGCTGCCATCATTGTTGATTCATTCATTTATTCATTTACTGTTTTTTGAGCATATGCCATACACCATTATGTTCTAAATTTTGTAATTACATGAGTGAACAAAACACAAAACTCCTGCCTTGAACTTAAATTCAAGTGGAGAGAAAGTAAATAAAAGAAGCAAGATATGTATTGTTAGAAAGTGACAGGTACTTGGGAGAAGAAAATATATCACGGAAGGGAATATATGATGTTCATGAGTTGGGGTTGAAAGTCATCAATTAGAAGGCAAATGAGTAAAGATCTGAGAAGGAAATGTGGGCTCTGGCTCTATGGAGTTTTAACACAGTTAATTTGTATTAAGAACGTGAAATTATGAGTTATGAGGAAGTGCTCCTGACCATCCTCCCCTCAATACAAGACAGCAAGGGTGCAAACTAGAGGAAGGTGGTACTGAGACTACCCTCTTGTAGCTTCACCAGTTCTGGTTTTGGGATTTTCTCCAGCCCTTGGCAGCTTAGGGGCAGGAGACTTCCACACCAGCCCATGCCACTGTAGCCCTAATCACATGGTACGTTGCACACTGGTTCTTTCTAGTCATTCTTGCCACCACTAGACTATGGCCTCTCAAGGACAAGATCTTGCTTAAGTCCATGACCCGCAGGGCCTGGCACACAGTGACTAGTAAATGTTAGCTAAATGAATACATAAATGAGTGTAAGACATTTAATAAGAGGGCTGGGGAAACATGGTTTACTGAGTTGGACTGGCAAGGCAAGTGTACAAGAGAGGGAGGCACTGACATAAAAACAGCCTTGAAAGGGCTGGCAGCAGGCCCCAGACTGGGTAAGGAGGTGAATGATGCCATCTTGGGACTAATGGTTCTAGAGCATTGCTTCTCCTAAGGCCAACTTCATTAACCTCTGCTGCCAAGAGGCACTGTTTTCACCTGTCTTCTCAGCACACCCATGATTGGTTATTACTTCCCCTGGGTATTCATCCTCTTTCTCAAGAGCTTTCCTTTTGACCTCTAAAGATGCTTTTTCATTCCTCATATTTAAAATAATCCTTCATCAATTCCTTTACCTATCTCCATTTCTTCACTGCCAAACTTATCAATGATTTGTTAGTCATTGAATCCCACGGCCTATTTTAGGCATCACACTGACCTTCTAGCAGCATCCAACCCTGCTGGCCACTCCCCTCTCCTTCACTCTTTTCTCTTGGGTTAGGTAATAGCAGTCTTCCGGTTTTGCACCTACTTTCTTGCTATTCCTTTTCTCTCTGTGGATACCTTTCCTCACCTGTACAGTAGCCTTAGAGTTCTCTGAGGCTGGGTCCTAGGTCTGCTTGTTCTCTCTTCACTCTCTTCCTGAGTGACTACATCAGGCCTATAGCTTCAATGATCACCTAAAAACAGATCAAGTCCAAATCTGTATCTCCAGCCTGTATCTCTTCTCTGGGCTCCAAGACCCATTTATCCAACTGCCCCCATATACATTTCCCACCTGCTACTTACTCCTCACTGTAACTTGGTTTCTGCTGCACTGGTTCACTAATGACTTCAATACCGCCATATCCAATGAACACTTCATACTTCTTATCTTCCTGAACTTCTCTACGACATGGGGCGCTGACAATTCTCCTTGAAATTTCCCCTTCCCTTATTTTTGTTTTCTCACCCAGGTGAGGACCATACTCTTTCAATTATCTTCAATAGCTCTTCCTCTTTACCTGTCTCTTGGGACACTAGTTTCTAAAACCTAAGTAAGACATAAAGCAGTGACTTGGTAAAAGCAAACTGATGCCACATTAGGAGAAGCTGGCAGGGTGAAAATTAAGTAGCAGCTCAAGGATGTTATCAAACATTTTGGTTCTTATGGAACAGGAGTAGTGAACCCTGATTTGATCTTGGGCAAAACAAAGGCATAATGTTAGTGAAGGCAGAAACAAATTATTACTCATTCCCTTTCAAAATTCCCCAAAGGTTAATTCAGTATGAAAAGTTTAATTTCACAGAACAGCTATTTAGTAAAGTTAATAAGCACACTTAACTTCATACTTGAGTGATGTTAATATTTATTGATATCAATGCAAAATAAGTAAGAGTAAAAGGTGCTATTTAACAGGAACAAATACTGGTGTAGTTTCCTTCCTGGAGAGGCTGTGCACTCAGATCATAGACCTAAGACAAAACAAAAACTGGACTGTCAAGAACCAAACAAGGGTTAAATTTTACTTACTATAAAAATTGCTAAAGGCGAAAGGACATTAAATATATTCTTTATGCTAAGCTCAAGTAAGTAAACAAAAGACTAAAACTAATCCTAAAACTTTAGGACACAAGATATAGACATGAGACTTGACTATTTAAATTTTGCATAAATGAAAATTTGTCTCTCCTTCCTTGTACTTGTACAATTACATGCTTGTTGCATCTACAGTACACAAAGTCAACAGTTATCACCAACAATGAATATAACTAGATCTGAACAAGACTTAAAAGTGACTTTGCTCCACTCAAAGAAAATTCAACCCAGGACTAACAAAACCTTTTGATTTTAGAGCCAGCTCTTGTTTTCTTCTTGTGTCATACCTAAGTCCTCACTTGACACTTCCTGCCTGCAAATTGGAATGCATGTCCTCTCCCTCATCTTTGTCTGACACTTTAAACTTCATCTGTAGGAATTGCATAAAAATTTAAAATTGTACTTCCAGCCTGAACCTGCAATCATATTCTTGCTTTGACACAAAAAATCATACTCCTCTGCAGTGTACCTCACCAGCACAGTGGCCCCCTTTCTTCCTCTCTATTCCTTTGCCCTGAAGGCACTTCTGGATTGCTTAATGCGTGCTCTTCTGCTGCCTAGACAGTCAGGACACCAAAGGCCATTTGGACTTAATCACTCCTCTCCTTCTTCTTTTCTATGGCTAATACCACTTTCCTGCTTCTTTTCTATTGCTGAATCTCCAGACTTGGTGCTGTCATCAGGAGGACAGAGTCGATTTCGGCTTCGAGCTCCTGGTTGGTAAAGCTGCATTGCTGGGCGATCCTAAAGTAAAATGAAATGTTAATGTTACAACAACCTAGCGTTTACAGGGGATTTTTCAGAGTCATAAATTATGTATCAATATATACCAAAAACAACTCAAACCAGATGAAAAATGTGAGGGCACAGTACATGACAGATAAGTGTTGTTGGTTAATTTGCTTCTAACTGCCCGCTTCCTTTCCCCAGTCTCCAAAGAATATCAACCATTTTATAAGTATTATATGCCTAGGGTAAACTTTCAATAAATCTACTGCCTAATTTTCCTGACCATCAAGATGAATCAACCTGAACTTTTTTTTTTTTTTACTTAGAAACCAACAGCCATTGACTATCTCTCTTCCCCATCAATAAATTGAGTTTAAAATGCAGTACCACGTTAAGAACATTTTAGGAGTAAAAAATAATAATAAAAAATGCAAAATCTTAAGTGGAGACTTCCCTGAAGATAGGAGCTCAGAGTAACTTGTCACAAACATGATTGTTTCTTACTTCATGTATGATAACATAACACCCCAGCCCAGCTCAGACTCTAGGTGGCACTTTAGATCTCAGATTCCTAAACAGGCCTCAATAAAGTCATCATGTACCTCTCAGTTCAAGTAATATGTTTGGTTTATGACAGTATGATCCTGGAAAACTTAAATATATAGGCCTTTTTTAGAATCCAACAAAAAATGACATGAGCCCTCCTTGCCCTTTCACACTGATATATGAAAGTTAGCTTTAAAGCATTATTCTCAAATAATTCCAGGAAAATGTTTCACTATTTTCACAAGATGAAATGTTAAAACAGATGAGACTCCTGCATAGTATTTAAAGAAATGGATGATGGGACGCCCACTTTGCAAAATGGGACAACTTTAAACATCAACAAGGACAATAACTGATGATAATCGGAATATACCAAGTATCTCTAAATCCATGAATTCTTAATGACTAAACAAAATGAAACTCATTGATAACCCCTGGAAGTTGCTGGGATATCACTCATTACTCTGAATATTGGTAAATAATGGGAAAGGATCAAGTGTTTGTCTTCCCTTTCCTATGTAAACTGAATTGCACGCTAACCAAACAGCTTCTGGGGAGAATTCCTCTTTATAGAAATGAACATCGGATAATAAATTCAACAGGAAAGGCAGAAGTCATATTTCACCATTTTCTAACCTCTCCCCCAAGCATACGAAATGATGAATCTAAGCAAAATCATTAGCAGAAAGGCTGATGAAAATTTTTATATTTGATGAATTGAGCTGACAATACCTGAACATACTGATCAGTCATTTTTTTCAACTTTTTATCTTGAAAAATTTTACATCTATAGAAGAAATGTTGCAAAACTTGTACAGTGAATACCCAATACCCTCCTAGACTCACAATCGTTAACATTTTGTCACATGAACACTTTGTCTCTAGTGTGTGCACACACATATATACACATTATTTTTGCAGAATTAAGAGTAAGTTGCAGAAATCATGACACTTCATCCCTTGTATATGCTAAGAACAAGGATGTCCTGTTACATAACCATTGCCTAGCAATTGCTACTGATCCTAACATCACACTAACATCTTACTATGTTGATAGATAGTAACCACAGTACAGCGGGTGAGGATTTAATAATATGGATAACAAACCACTGTGTTGTACATTTGAAACCAACATAAGATTGTATATCAATATTTTAATTAAAAAAAAAAGGACACCCAGACATTATATGCTTCCTAATGATGCCATAGGAAGGGAACACCACGATCTGGTAAGTATCCCTGCCAAAAAAGCCACCTGCTTTTGTGAATAAAGTTTGATTGGCACACAGCCACACTCATTATTTTACAAATTGTCTATGCCAGCTTTCCTATAGAGCTTAGTGGCTGTAACAAAGACCGTATGGCCCACAGAGTGTAAAATGTTTACCATCAGGCCCATACAGAAAAAAATTGCTGACCCCTGCTCTAGCTATAACTACCAGTTTTCAAGGAAACACAGAAAATAGTAACACGTTAAATGATGCCACAGTATGTAATACGCCAATACAGATCATTTGAAGTTCTACCTGACCAATTGGTTTCTGTAACAAATAAATGATAAGAAAAGAAAAGAGGAGAAATTGTCAGATTAAAAGAGACTTAAGACATTTCAAGCAAAAGCAATTTGTGGATCTTGTTTAGAGTACGTAAAAAAGATAATGAAAATTGGGAAAATCTGAACACTGAGTAGGTAGGCATTAAGGAATTATTAAGGGGTTTCTTGGTGTGAAAATGCTATTAGGGTTACATTATTAAGAATCCTTATCTCTAAAACTGTCACATTTATAGAAATTCTGTACCTAGGATTTGCTTGAGAATGATCTAGTAGGGGCAGGGATTGGACAGAGTGGAAAGAAGGTTGGCCACAAGACGGTAACTGCTTTAAACTGGGTGATGTGTACATCATATTATTCTCTGTTCTCCCTACTTTTGTGTATGTGTGACATTTCTGTAAGTTAATAAAATGACCAAACCAAGACTGAAAAATCCTGCAGATAAAAGTTCCCCTTTCAAATTTCTATGTAAAGAGTGAGCTAGCCCATCCTTCACACTTGCAGGAAGGAAAAAAATTTGTCTTGAAAATAAAAAAGCATAACAAAAAGCAGCATCTTGTTTCTATGCGATCTCTTTTAAACACCTCCTCTTTCTTTTCAATTTTTTCTGCACTGCCTACTGATTCTCTGCTTTCGGTTTTCTTTCCTTTATCCCAAGTGTGTCTTTCTCTATTCTCATTTCTTCTTCCTTCCTTTTAAAAGCCTTCTCTTTCTCATAGCGCTCCTTCTGCCCCTGGCGTTCTTCCTCTTGCCGCTTCAGCCTCTCTCTTTCCCTCAGTATGCGCTCTTGATCTCGTTCATAAACCCGTTCCCTATCCCTGTAGTCTCTACTACTCTCATCTGCATGAAAAGCAAATCTGAGAATGTACCCTCACAGATCTTCTAATCCCAAATGCAGGAACACTCATTCTGACCTGGCAACTATAAATGAGCATGCACTTTTGGAGCACAGTGAAAACACCGTATGTTTTGAAAAACAGTAACAAAACCCAAAAGTCATTCACCCATATTAAGATACTAGAATATTTGAAATATTTCCTTCTCATTGACCCCCTACCCTGTGTAAAACAGAGTATCTTCATTCATGTACAAGTCCAGGACATAGCACTAAAACTAGTATCTAGAAACATGGAAACAAATGTACCAAAGAGCCCTCTACTAATGACCTTTTAAGCTTTTCATCTTTAAGTTGGCCATCAGAATCCTTGGGCAGTGTACAACTTTGCCCGCTGGCTCTTTCATCATTCAGATTCTCTTTGTCCAGTTTCTTGGCTTTTTCTCTTTTGTCCAATTCTTTTTCATCTCCTTTTTCTGATGTCTTAAGCAGCTTAAAGAAAAACAAATTTTTTATTTTGAAGGGTGGAACACTCTCGTCTGACTCCACCAAAGAGAACAGTATACTAAATATTCTAAATTTAGGCTACTGAAGGCCTTTATCTGTGCAGGTACTCAAACTTTCAGGTGAACAACTAGTGCACAAGAGCAGTAGTTCACTAAAAGGACGCTGCTAATGTGAAAGTGTTACCCACTCAAATGAAGTGGTTTAATCACTTTGTGGCAATAGGATCAAGACTCCTTTGGCTTGAAGTGTGCTAACCTTTAAGTGAACCAATGGACACTTCCAAGTATGCCTTCTGTACCAAACCAACATGTTTCTATAACTTGAGGCAAAAATATGCCACAAATTTAAAAGGGTGGGCAGGTTACTACTCTGAGATTGTTTTTATGTTGTACTTGAAATGACAAATACCTTGTCACCAAAGGAGTGATCCATTGCAAGAATAATTCTGCCTTGAGCCTGAGAGTAACATACTTATGATGGCACAATTGTATTATTAGAGGTGAACAGCAAGAATTACTTGGCATTTGGTTTAAAAATTCAAATACCTCAACAACTGAACAGTGAAGTCCCATCAGTACTGAGCAGGAACTCTATATTCAGTGTCATACAGATATTACAAAATGAAATTCCAAAGTAAATATGGTTTACAAAGTCCAAATTGCTAAGAAAAATTTTCTCACTCCACTGCTCTAAATCTCTCTAGAACACCCCCAAGTGCTGGATATTCAGAGAAATTCTTAGGCAAAATCAAAGCATATCATGTCTCAGAGTGAAGGCTTCATACATACATAGGCTCATCTCAGGGTGAAGGCTTCACATGAGTCACCAAGCAAAAGGCAAAGCACACAAGAGTTAAGCACGAGGTGTTTGAGTAGAGCCACTGCAAATGACGAGTCCAACACTAAAAAAGCACCATTGTAAGGTGAGGCTACCGTGTGCAGGTTTCACTGGAAGTGTTCTTATTTCTGTAATGAACATCTTTGTTAGAAGCCAAGATGTTCATTACGCTAATAAGAACATTAATGAACATCTGTAGCATGGCTGGCTCTACCTTCTGTCTTGCTGATGGTTAGGAATAGCAAGTCAGGTCACTTGTGGCACGGCAGACAGAGCGACTGCTAGAAAGAATTAAATGGGAACCTCCGCACCCTGCCACCAACGAGTCCTGGAGAGCCTTGGGGAACCCTAGCCACATAAACTATATTCTGAGAAGGTAGGAGACCCTGTTACCATCTCTGTGGCACTTTTTCATTTTTTGACATACTAGGTCTTAGTACTTCCCCAGGAAATTTATTGGAGCAAGAGCTGCCTAAGCCATGCCCTTAGAAGGGAAGCAGTAAGGCTGGGAGCTTTCTACAAGTTTTTCCCTTCCTACGTGCAATGCATTATTCAGAGTCTGCTGCTCACAGATTCCCAGGTAGATGCAAGAAGATAGTGTGGGGAATCGTGAGAGGAGAAAGCAGGGAATGCAGGATATTTATCCCTAGTATTCCCACAGGGCAGCTAGTTATGATAGGCGCTTAAACAGAAGACAAAGAGCTGTGTATGCATGGTTGTCCTCTAGCTGTCTATTGGTGAAGCTTTTGGGTACACAGCACATCAGGAAGTCGTCTGGGCTTTCTCTCAATTAAAAATTTGTAACAGCTCAGCTTTTAAGAAGACTCAAGTCAGTCAGAATGGGTTTTCTACGGGTAAGACTACCATCAACACCAAAAGGGTTTTTTACTAAGACCTGGGTGTGAGGCATGATAGCAGGTGCTCTGTATCATGTACTTGGTCCTTACATTTTTCTGATTCACAGCTTGTAACAGAACCTGTGTACCTGAAGACAGTGGAAAACAAACAGATGAGGCAACTTCATGTATCAACTGTGAAGGAAAAGCTGAATAAAAACACGTAATTCATGCCAGCCAGCCCTAAGCCTCTATTTATGAAGAACAGAGAACAATAATCCAAAAAGTGAGTATTTTCAATGGTAAAAATAATGCAGATCTGCACTTAATATCTGAACTACTTAATCCTTTAAAATTATCTTTAACTAAAAAAAAGAATGTTATAGGAAAGATTTCTATTGGTTTACTCCCCCCTCTCCCCAAAAGACAAAACCAAAACCAAAACACTATTTACACCAATACAAGGTGCATACGTATTTAAAGAAGTAAATACATGCAATTTTCAGCAACATGCATTCAGTTTAAGTTATTTTCATACCTTAATCTTTGGTCCATCATTTAAATCGTCCCATTCTGAAACTCAATCTTCCTTAACTTTTCTCTATCTTTCCTTTTTTGTTTCTCTTCTTCTTTCCAGTTCATCCTCTCTTCTTCTCTTTGTCTTTCTCTTTCTATTTCTCATATCCTCCTTTCTTCTTTTTTCTCTCATTCTCTAGAAAGAAATATCAACACAAGCCTTCAAACAAGATAATCACCACCAAAACCTCTATCCCAAAGGTATGTGCAGCCACTAAAACGGATCATCTTTCCTTCCTATGCTCTACAAGTGTCATTCTACCTCCTTTACCCCCTCCCCACCCCATTCCGAACATGAGAGAGAATTAAGACCAAGGCCTGCTGGTGTCAGTCTCCTACTGCTGCCTTGCGCTATTTCCAGAAATTTTCAGAAAATCAAGAGAGTGTCTGGACTCTCTGGGTTTGCAGAGTGAATCCCTGGTCCAACAACCAGAGTGAAGGAAAAGGCCAGAGAGTGAAGCCAATGAGCCAAATCTTTACAGAATAATGGTAGAAAAAGAAGCTATTTCTCCTATAGGATCCCAATGCCCTTACATTTACAGAATGCAAACTATATAAAAGTATTGAGAAAACTATAAAAACAAAAGGTTTACCTACTTGTTTTTCAGGAAACTCAAAAGTGGGGTTGTCTTTTTAGCTACATAAATCTAAACAGATTATTAATAATACTTATCAACCCCTAGAAAGGATTCCATTTTCTGACATTCCCTGCCAACCACCAAGTTGGGTAAATAAGACCCCTTAACAGAAAGTTCACAACTATACTATCGAACAGATGTCTTACAGTATATTTCAATTCTGAAGGTTTAAAATATGTTCTAAAAAGTGAAGAACTTCAAATGAAAATAGTAGAACAATATTTCAAAAGAGAAATTCCCAGTGTCAGTGAGAGTTAAGTGCAAATGACATTCTATTTTTTTATAGATGGCACTATAAATTTGTTCAACTGGGAAGAAACTGGAAGAAGGGACTAAAATATCCTTTTGACACCTATTTCCATTTCTGGAAATTTATTGTAATATTAGACATAGGCTTATACTATGCATCCATTAATAAAAACCAAGTTTTAGAATAATATTTATTTCATTTTTCAATATTCTGAACAATGCTATTTAGCCTCAGAGCTAGCGTTTTGAAAACACACTTCCTTTGGATGAATTCCTAGGAGTGGAAATCCTGCGTCAGAGGCTATGCTTATGTTTAGAGCTGATACATTAGCAGCACTGTTTTAGAAACCAACATCCAAACTAGAATTTCTTAAGAGGTTTTCAATTTTGCAGTACCTAATTTCATTTTTTGATATTTTCAGGTCAAAAAAAATTTTTTAGGAATGTTTCTTATTACTAGAAAACACCAATTGATGTTCAAAGGCTTACCAAAATCTAAAGGTCCCATGAGTCTCTTAACTTTTTACACTTATGTTCATTTGTGTGGCACTAAATAAAGGTCACAGAGAATTTCCCCATCTTATCAATGCATTCTCATAATCCTGTGAGGCAGGTATTATCATTCTCATTTTACAGTAGAAGAAACAGAGTTTCAAAGAAGTTAGTGTCTTCCCCATGGCCACACAGCTAGGATGGAAGTGGGAGTCACACAGGTCTTCTGAGGAAAAAGAATGCTTTAATTCCTCCTGCCCACTTAACTATTCATTCTCTATTTTTTGCTTCTATTTCCTCTAGCAGTGTCTCTGGAGTAGATGTTATTTTCTCATTATCTGCAACACAACTTTCCAAAAATGTTCTATATTCTGGATCTAAATAATTGTTTTAAGTAAACAAAATAGGAAATATTACCTAGGATATTTATCAAAGGTGGTCATTTTCTACTTCACTGAAGATTGAAAACCAACCTAACCACACCCACAAGATAAACCTTTTAGAGCTTTACTGGTCACTTACTCTCAGAACTCCTGATATCCACTAAGGGAGTGTGGGGCTAACATGGGGTCAGGGAAAATGAGACACCGCACATTAAAACAGAACTTCCAGCATTAGTTGGCTTTTAAAATGCACTGTTCCTACTAATCAGAGTCACACTTATGGGAGAACTGAAAGTCAGTTATGGGAGCTTCAGAGGGTACTATGTATAAGCATGTAGCAATTCCTGTATGGGTATATCTCAGTTTAAGTGAACTCAACATATGAAACTCAGTTGTTCAACAAAAAGATAAATTGGGGGTCTGTCCTAGCTGTGGCACTGGAGGTGATGTTAATTCCTGGAGTTCTTTCCTAGATACGTCTGACATCAGAAAGGGAAACAAATCCGAGTCACTCTATTGCTTATACTTGGGAGTTTCTATGCACTCTGGAGCATGTTACTTGATGTGGTCTTCCAGGCATGAATCTGTGATATAACCAATAAGCAATGGTGTGTTGAGTCTTTTGTTTTCTCTACAAAATAACCATTATAGTAGTAAATAACAAAAATCAAACTAGATGATTCTAAAATAGCAGTGTGATATAAAAAATACTGCAGCTAAGTCCTTATCCAACATAACAAATTATGGAGAGCTCAGAATCTGGATCCAGTTTACCTTAAATGGCAATTATTAGTTTTTCAGTTCCTGTATTTCAGTTAAATGTAATTCCTAGGCATGCAGTTAACTGCATATTTAAAACATAGAAAATAGGATTGGCCACTTCATCTACTTTATGTTGTTACTTGAGTATAGAAAATTTTCTATCACAGCTCTCAATGGTAATTCCTCCTCTTTATAAAAATAATGGAAACCAGAAGTCAAAAATATTATCATAAAAATGGTAATAAAAGGCCTTAAGGAGTTGCTATACTTTGAAACATCTGAATTTTTCCACTGTGTTCTAATCAAAAGACCTAAGCTGATTTACTGCTCAATAGTCAGCAATAGATTGCTTAATTGTGGAGGAATGAAATGCTACCAGCCAAAGAGAGTAGACATTCTAGAGGAACCCCACCTCCATTCTAACAATTAAGCAAAGCTTTCATCAGTGAATTACATTTCTCATGAACTTTATTCCATGTTTCACTATTTAAAAGACTGGAGTCCAGTTAATTCCCACAAAGGTAATGTATTTTCAAAACCCAATGCAATAGCTTTACATAACTAGAACTATACTATACCATCATTGATAGTCCCAACTTTGGTAACTCTTTTCTTAGTCTTCTTTTTTGCAGCTTTTTGAAAAGGTGCAAATTCTACTATAGCAGGATATTCCTGACCTGTTTAGAAAAAATACCACACTTGCTATAACAAAGAAAATATCAAAAGTGGATACAAGTGTCAACCCACTGTTTTTCAGGCCTCTTTGGTGGTGGTCATCTTAATAGGACTTCCCCACAGACATAAATAACACTCACATAATTAAAATCAACATATTACCAAAGGAAGCCCAAGTTCATACTGATAACATAATGAAAAGATATGGCAGGGAAGTAAAATATTCATTTAAGTTCAACTTCTAAAGCATGATATTTTGATACATAGGGGAAAAACTACAAATTAATTTTAATTTAAAAAATATATCAGAAATCTCTAGAATAGGCAAATCTATGGAGATAGAAAGTGGATTAGTGGGGTGCCTAGAGCTGGGGGGTAGTGTTGGGGAGAATGAGGAGTGACAGCTAATAGGTATGGGGTTTCTCTTTGGAGTGACACATGTTCTTAAATTAGATTGTGGTGATAGTTGCATAACACTGTGAATATACACTTTAAAAGGGTGGATTTTGTGGCACGTGAATTCTATCTCAATAAAGCTGTTATTAATACACCAGGAGACACTAAAAGCACGGACAACAAAAATAGATAAATTGAACTGTATCAAAACTAAAAACTTCTGTGCATCTAAGGACACAATCAACTGAGTGAAAAGGCAACCTACAAAACAGGAGAAAATATTTGCAAATCACATATCTGATAAAGGTCAATATACAGAATATATAAAGAACTCCTAGAACAACAACAAAACACCTAGTTAAAAAAAGTTCAAAGGACCTTGAATAGATATTTTTCCAAATATAATATACAAGTAGCCAATAAGCATATGAAAAGGTGGTCATATGCTCAAGCATATGCAAAGATTAAAATATTACTTCACTAATCATTAGGGAAGTGCAAATCAAAACCACAATGAGCTATCCCCTCACACCCATCAGAATGTTTACTATTAAAGGAAAAAAAGTAACAAGTGTTGGTGAGGACATGGAGAAATTGGGGTAAATTAGAACCCTCATGCATTATTACATTGTGTGGGAATGTAAAATGGTGTAGCTGCTCTAGAAAATAGTATGCTGCTTCCTTACAAAATTAAAAACAATTTACCATATGACCTAGCAATTCCACTTTTGGGCAATGTTGAAAAGATGAACAGATATTTGTACACCCACACTCATATCACCATTATTCACAACAGCCAAGAGGTAGAAGCAACCCAAGTTTCCACTGATGGGTGAATATACAAAATGTAGCATATACACACAATGGAATATTACTTAGCCTTAAAATGTAAATTCTAACACATGTACAAGATGGATCAACCTTGAAGACATTATGCTAAGTGAAATAAGCCAGTCCCATAAAGCCAAATACTATATGAGTCCACTTACATGAAGTACCTAGAATGGTCAACTTCACAGAGAGAGAATGGTGGTTCACAGGTAGAATGGTAGTTGTCAGGGGATGGGAGGAAGGGGAAATGGGAAGTTGTTGAATGGGTATAGTTTGTCTTGCAAGATGAAAAGGTTCTAGAGATTGGTTATACAACAATGTGAAATGTACTCACCACTACTAAACTGTACACTTAAAAATAGTTAAGATGATTTGAAACAGTAATCAAAAAACTACCCAAGAACAAAACCCCGGGGCCGGACGGATTTACCTCGGAATTTTATCAGACACACAGAGAAGACATAATACCCATTCTCCTTAAAGTGTTCCACAAAATAGAAGAAGAGGGAATACTCCCAAACTCATTCTATGAAGCCAACATCACCCTAATACCAAAAC